CAAGGAAGCACGGAAGCAGGGAAGCAGGGAAGGAAGGAAGCAATGAAGCAGGGAAGCAAGGAAGAAAGGAAGAAAGGAAATAATTACAATTTAGACTGCTAACTATTCAGTCAAATCGCCTGACTCCGATTATTAAGTTTCAAATTGTTTCAGTCTTACTCACCAACCATTATAGCGATCACAACAATGTTAGCAATCATCAGTAAAACCGTGACAAAAACTTCATCGACCTGGGTATTAACACTAGAAGACAAGCTGTCACTAGGGATCTTCAATAGCATCCCAACGATCATGTTCACCATGGTAGCCAATAAGGACGTCAGCTGCAGCCAGTGTTCAAAGGTGTCTGTGATTGGCTTGTAGTAAGCAAACAGCACGGCGTATAGACCTGATATTATGGCTGTTATCCCAAGGTATGTACGACTTTCAGCATGAGCAAGAAGGATGACAGACGTTATGATGACCTTGCGAACAAGCTCGATGATCTCCCAAAACCACACGTTACTGGCATAGTTTTCGTATATGAATTTCAGTCCCTGCACAATACCATCGTGATTCAAATTCTTTCTCTCATTCTGGTTCACAATCTTGGTTCTTGCCTGTATTTGTTCGTTCTGGTTCTTGCCTTTTTCGTACCTGTAGTAATATTTCCATAGAAGGAAAAATATCAAGGATGGAAATCCAACAGGGTAGACGAGGAGTGTATAAGAAAGAATTCCCATGGCTTCAAACCTCTCACCCCCACACGCGACAGAGTAATCAGACTTGAGATAAAACTGGCAGAACTTCTCGTTGGTAGAGGTGCAAATTTTGTGACAAGCGTCGGGAAGAACTTGGAAGATATAGCTGCAAGTCATGGGGTATGTTATGAAAAGTGCGAGGAAAACCATTCGGTAACATCGCTGTTGAAGAAGGATCTTTCCCGGAATGGAATTGTTGTCATTCTGTCTTGTTTTTCGTCTTTTCATTATATGATAGTAAACAAGCCCTGCGAGTATTGCCAGAGTGTTGAAAACTACAATTGCCAAGAGTTTGACGTGAGCATCCGATTTGAGAGATTCAGCGATGCAGTGAAGCGGAGCGATTTGAAGAAGGTTCATTTGGAAAATCTCTGCGTACCTAACCAGCTTGACCATGGTAGCAGGCCACTCGACGTATGAGAAACTGGAGATAGTTCCTGAAGTCACTTGGTAGAATCCAACCAGGATTTTAAGCCTGCTTGTCATGATGTCAGAAAGGGATCTACCATCACGTTTTTCCTTCTTGTCTTTGAACAAGAAAGCGAAAAGACCCACCAAGACTAGAATAGCTAAGGTAACCTGAGCTATAATCCAAGGGAGAGTTGGACACCTTCGGCAAATAGACGCCAGCATGTAGAATTGTCTGCTGCAGACGGCACACAATGGACCCTCGTAGCCAACAGTACATTCAGATTCTAAGCCCCCCTTGCATGCATCACTTACAGGGCAGGCGTATGCCTTAGGTATACCTAATGCAAACGTAGTCGCGTTTTTGTTATAAGTTCTCTTTGGGACTTGTAACTCTGTTGAAAACTTTGTATAAGTGAGTTTAGCTTCTGTAGAATTCCATTGCCAGAAGAAGCCAGGTAAGAGATTGATGGTCTCGTTGGTACACATGTAGCCTCGTGGGCACGGGAAACATTTTTTGAATCGATCGATACGGTAATGATCTTCAAGACAAGAACAGGCTTTGAATAGTGCATGACGATCTCGACGAGTTCCTTTGAAGAGAGCGAAAAAATTGCAGATGAGAGCGGTCCAATTCAAATCAATCTTTATTAAAACTTAATGATCTCTGGGATGATCTGTCAGGGCATCAAAAAGGCCCTGGATAAATGAAGAAACGTGTTTCCAGAAACATGTTTACCGCGTGCATGTCTCTCCGATGTTTCCCAATTTAGCCACATGCTAAACATTGCTGCGTGCAACAAATTTTGCTTCCAAGACGCAAAAATCGTTGTGCTGTGCGGCAGAAACATTTCATGCTTCAAAGACGCACGGAAAAAATGTTTCCTGATGTTTCCTGACAGTTTTGCCACCTTTGGAAGCATTTAACGAAACATTTTCCCTCTGAAATAATAAACAACCCCTGGGCTGATCTAAATTAGATCGAATTGGAATGTGCGTGTTTGGTATTGATCGGAAGGGGAAAAACGGAAACCTAACAAGCTCTGCTCACATTAAGGTACCAGACATTGTCAAGCCCGAGACCCCAAAGATGAGACGTGAGAAATTAAGCTAGTTACCGACTGAGTTAATAAAACTGCCGACTGAGTTAAAAATTTGTCGTTTGAAAATGGTGGAAGTGGAATAAAAAAGTGCTCTAGTGACGCCCTACATACCATCTGGACAGGCCTGACAATCAGAACTCTGACGACCAGGAGATGTTTGTGGGCTGACAAAGGCTCCTAAGGGACACTGTTTACATCCTAAACCATGAGAAACGATCTGGTATTGAGCTTGCTCGTCTTGGTAGAAACCACCTAAAAATCATTTTAAAAAACATTTAAAGAAATGTCTTTACCTTGAGCATAAAGTTTTCCCTGTTTCCCATCGGCAGATATCAGGGTTACTCTCTATCGCCTTCAAAAAATTGTTTCAAGTCGAGGCATTTGGGTCAATACCACAATGAAATGTAAACGAATGTTGAAGGTGTGAGAGGGGCCTAGGCCCGAGTGAGAGACGGAGACGACGAAAGCGTATGTTTGAGAGATCGTGTGTCTTGGAGAGTGGAAAATATATTTGGATTAAAACTGATTGGAAATCGAGTTACAAAGGCAACAGAGCGAAATCTGGTATCTGCTCCTCGTGTCATTGCCTAGAGTATCCTTTCTTTGTTGATAGTTGTGTATGACAATAGACATATACGAATATGGATACAACTCAAACAAAGAGTCTTATTAATTCTCAAGAGAATGGCACGTAGTTTGGAATAAGAAACCATTACGCCCAAGGTAAAAAGGTCTAGAGAGATTCACTAAATCCGTGTGTGATAGTATTAGACAAAATGATAAATAGAACACAAAGTAAACAATGGACTTTGTGTCTAATAACGTCTATTTGACTATTGCACAGGTTATGTGCAAAGCCACTCTATTCCTATCAATCTAACCCAATGGATATGTTTGTAGAGTGGATGAATTTAACGTCTGGAAGTACTAGTTGGATCGATATTATTAGTAATAATTATAACTTCAAGCCCTGACTAAGATCAGGCAATAAGAGGTTGTTGTTTCAGGGTTCGATCTGTGAGTTAGCCATGCCCTGACTTAGATCAGCCCAGAGGTTGTTTCCTGGTCCGATCTGTGAGTCAGCCGTGCCGATAAAATAGAGCTATGTCAGTCTAAACAGCTTTTTTTTAAATCTTAGTTAAACGTATAGTATAACTTGACATCTACCTGCTGGACATGGCGAGCATGTGCCGTTCTCTTTAAAGGTTCCATACGGACAGGGAGAGCAGTACGTCAATTCTCCAATGTGAGTGATGAGATATCCGCGAGCTGACGAGAACTCTTCTGCTTCTTCGCATTCAAACAACAAAGATTGCGTTTGTGAACTGTAGAGAGAATCGTCATGTATAAGCGATAATTATTAGTTATCAATACTGTGTCTCACAGACATAAAAACATAAACAAGACGTCCTAAATAACGTAAAATGGGCTGCCCAGTTTGATAACACTTTGGGTTTTTATTGTCGAACAATTTTTTATCAAATGTACACGCTTGTCTCAAAGAGGATCAAGACGCCCTTTATGCGTTCACCGGGTTGCCTGTAACGTGCACAGAGACCTAGTACAGCTGAAGATGTTAGCCAAAAGATAATGGAATGTTTCACAGAAAAGAATGATTTCAAGTTTAACTCAACTTCGTTTCGGTTATTATTCGGTCCCCGATATTCACTTCGCCTTCGGCGAATAACTGTTAAGTATCGTATTTATTACCTCTGGTATTGAATAGATAGAGTATCCCCAAGGACTATGGAATCTGCAGCGCGTCTCCTTCTCATTGGTCCTGGGTCAATAGTTATCATATGCAACAGCTTGCCGGGTGAAATGATTCTTATATTTGTATCCACTAAACTCCTGTGTAGCGTAAAATAGAGCTCTTTACCTTGAGTGTAATGTTTTTCATTTCAGACCACGTGTCATTCGCTTTAGAGTGAGATTCCTCGTTTGATTTACAACCGTAAAACAAAGAAATGATACTCTAGAAAATGACACGTGGTTTGAAATAGGAAAATATGGGAGAACCTACGGCACTCAGTTGCTTTAATGTATGAAGAAAATCTATTGTCGTTCTATCAATTGTATTGGGTGTGATTTGTTGTATTTTTATGAACACATTACATCAACTGCTTGCTACGGAGGCTATTCCTGGAAAACATTGCGCTGAAATGTACGCATGCGTAAACGTTTTCTTTAGCGTCATCTTTGACCCAGTCCACCTCAGCCTCTCTTTCTTGAGCGACAATTCTTCGATTGCACGTTACGTCATGGCGGGCTCTCGAGGGAGCGTTGGTGCCATTAAACAAAATATTTCTTATTAGCATCCATTGTTAACGGCACCACAATGGCCGCCATGCTTTTGCCTTTTAACTCTCTTGGGAATGCTTCAGTGCAACCCATCAATTACACACTGGGCCAAGGGAGCACGACAGACATACATTTGTTGATTGGTCTTCCTGTGGAAATGACGTGTGCTGACGAATACGGTTTTCTGCGAAAAATAGCGAGGGCTCAAGTAAATATAAAAGATGGCGGCGTACAAAAAATTGACTTATTTGTATCATCCGCCACATTTGTTTACTTATGACCCCGTGCGACTTCTTAGAAAACTGCATGCGTGCGTGCGTGATTACCACAGGAAGACAATCCATTTTAATTTAATTTGAAAATTTAATATCACAAAAATATTAACCTCTTTTGGAATGTTAAGCGAAGAAAAGATGGAATGTATGGCATTTCAAATTAGTCTTGAAACTTACAAAAAACGTAGGCTCCTGACTCCAGCAAATGCTCCTTCTTCGATAACGTCTATCGGGTTCAAAGATAACCACCTTGATTGAAAGTAAACATTCAAAAACTAAGATGAGATAGAGGAAAAGGAGAAAAAGAAAAGGAAAAGAAAGGAAAGGAAAGATGAAAGGAAAGAAAAAAAGGTGAAAGGAAGGATCGAATAGACAAAATATACATTTTCATTTGCGATTTGACTCTTTAGTAATGGAGACATTCAAGGACAAAATCCAGGATTCTACTTCCAGTGATGAGTTCCGGCCCTTTCCTCTAAATCGGGACTCCAATAATATGACAAATGGTTTCACCCGAAACTGATAAAGAGGATGAAACGTCTAACACTATAACCATGCTTGGAAAATTTTGACATGCAAATTAGTATTTTTAATACCATATTTGGAATTATGGGTTGGATTCAAAATGGCCGCTTCTCTCAAATGTCAAATTTCTTGCTGAATTTTCTGACTTTCAGAGACGATTTACCGAATCTTTCAATCAAACATTTGATAACTATGTCTTTAATTTGGTGATGGGAATTTTTGAAGCAAGAGAAAAGAAATTTGCCAAGAAAAAAGTTGAATATTCCGTAGCATCGTAGTAAGGAAACGTATGGCTTTGACACGTTTCAACTCTCTCATGAGTTTCTGGTTTCTGGTCGTAGTCTCTTAAATCCAAAATGAGATTTTGGTAGTTCCTGAAACCAGGGTACCCCCAAGGGGTTCTTTTCCTCTGCTGATATTATAGAATACTCACAATATTTTTAATCTTTTAGACGCAACGCCGAAGGTAGTTTTCTTGATTCGTCTGATAAGGTTTTTCTGTAAATACCTAAAATAATCACGTGTTAATTGATTTACAGCCAGATTGTATTCAACACTCACCTAACCATCCGCGTAGGAAATGTCTTAATATTAAGCTATCAAAGATTGGTGAAGGTGTCTGCACGTTGCACGTTGCACGTTGCATTTTGCATATTGCTTGTTGCATGTTACATTTTGCTAACTAAGCTTGCAATTTATTATGTTTATATCAGAAAAAATTATGCTGGAAAAACGTGCAGACAAACTTTAGGAATGAAGAAAAAGAAAACGCGCGCGCGTGCTGTGTGCGAGGGTTAGCAGAATACGAGAGAAGTGTTAGGAGAAGCAATCCCCAACGGCTTTATTACAGCACGTACACGGTACCACATGCGGCAACACTTAAATGGCTTCCCATAAGAATGGTTATCGTATGAGTGGGAAACGTACGGTACTGACTTACAGCACGTACACGGTTCGGTATGACGTGTCATTCGAATGGTTTTCCATATATATTTTTTGCGTAAGTTGTCCCGTCCTAATGACAGCGCAAAGCTAAGGACGGCAATAAAATAAGATGTTCAGTCTTTTGGCATTAGTAAACAGGCGTTGTAATTAAAATAAGATTCTCCTTCTTCTCTATGACAATGCGTCAACGACTTACAAGACTAAAAGACTGGGGCGAACCCCGAAGGAAGCGTCTTCTATATCTTCAATTTTGTTGTCTGGCAGAGCACTAAATAGGGAAAAAATATCAGTAGGAAAAGAAAATTGCACAAAGAAAAACAGCAACACCACACCACACCACACCACACCACACCACACCACACCACACCACACCACACCACACCACACCACACCACACCACAAATCTGCACCACAAGTATGAAATGACAACAAACGGTACAGCATGACACTAAACTACATGAAAACAACACGTACGACAAAATACGCCAAAGTACACTACACTACAAGTACGTCACAGCATGACATGACACTACATCACAAGTTAGTCACAGCATGACATGACACCACACCACAAGTACGTTACAGCGTGACATGACACTACATCACAAGTACGTCACAGCGTGACATGACACATGACACATGACACCACACTACAAGTACGTCACAGCATGACATGACACCACACCACAAGTACGTTACAGCATGACATGACACCACACCACAAGTACGTTACAGCATGACATGACACCACACCACAANTGACATGACACCACACCACAAGTACGTTACAGCATGACATGACACCACACCACAAGTACGTTACAGCATGACATGACACCACACCACAAGTACGTCACAGCATGACATGACACCACACCAGAAGTACGTCACAGCATGACATGACACCACACCACAAGTACGTCACAGCTTGTATACACATTGTATACAACACACGATGGAATGTCTAACTTACAGAAAACTTAAGGTGGTAAGAAATTCACCAATCCTTGATAAACCATTGTAATCTTCGTGAGACAATCTATTGATTATTTCATTCTCGTCTTGCCTTTAGAAAAATCAAACAACCAGTGAACCGATCAATCATGTGATTTTATATTGATGACATTAAATGTCAACATTATCAATTTAAGAGTAAATGGTTTGAACCCAGGCGTTGAAGTTCGGTGTGAAATGTGATCGTCTGAGTGAGTGTAGTCTTGAGAAAGACTTTAGTCGGTGGTGACTGACGTTTCGACAACGTGAACGGAAGTCATCTTCAGAGTCCAGTGAGAAGCGTTTTCAAAGTGGACTCTGAAGATGACTTACGTTCAGGTTGTCGGAACGTCAGTCACCACCAACAAAAGTCTTTCTCAAGAATATAATCACCCGGACGATCACATTTCACACCAAATTATCAAAATAACCACAACAACCACAACTACGACCTCAACCACAAGCCCATCCACATCAACAACCATGATAACGACCACGACGGCAACCATAAGCACGTTACAAGTTCTCTTGCACGTTACATATGTCATATAATTATGATCTGTTTTTATGATTTATTCAATATGGCGTCTATGACGTCACATGTCAATAGTACTTACATGTGTCGACTTTTCAAAGTGTCCCGAGTGATTTTACCTAAATTGTTGCCCTCAATAATTCTAGTTTTAATTTCAGAAAGAACGGATTAGAGCTCGCCACGGAAGCATGGATATCTAGTTAGCTTTTTATTTCTTCATTTGATCCTCACCCTTAACTCAATATGTTATCACTATTGGTTCTACATGAAGTGAATAGTTGAATGGTAAAATATTTTAATATGATTTGAGTGATGCATATTGGAGAAATCTAGTTTTATACTTCTAATATGTTAATGAGTCAGTGTGATGTCTTAGAAGGCATTATCAAATAGATTTAAAAAATTATTATTCTGCAACTCACTAGAGCGCATGCAGTAAAACCATAAAATGAAAACAAAGTTGATACTGACAAACAGTATCTATTTAGTGACTAATAGTTGCTATCACTCAACCACAACATTCATCATACAAAGACAAACACACAAGAGACCATTTATGTCTTTTGTTTAAAAAATGGTAAACCATCGAGTTGATTTTTCATGGCTTCGCTGACGTCACTTCCGTACGTCCGTACGTCCGTCCGTCCGTACGTCCGTGTACACAACACAGGAATTCCGCAAAGCAAAACTACTCACAATGCGGCTGCAAATGCTCAGAAAAATTTGTTTTAGGGCAAGTGATAGACAATTTTAAAAAACTTTCATGTAGTCAAAGATAAATTTATTGATTACATAAGCTTACATACAATTGATATGGAGTTGCAAAAGCTCCTCTTTCTAAGAATTGTATATTGTTTCTTGTCAAATATCTGTAAAATAACATAAATATATAATACAATGATTAAAAAAAAACTTTTTTCTAGTTTGTTTATTAATATGCTTTTATTGCAACGCACTGATCAATGCAAGAGGAAATCGGGCAATAGTGTAAATGTATACAGTCAATTCAAAAAATGTTGTCGTCGACCAGCTCAAGCCTACGCGACTGGACCGAAAGGAACTCTGGGTAGCAATCATTGAAGCCGAGTTGACTCCATAATTTCATCTGACTAGTTATGCCTGGTTTACAGCACGAACCTTCGTAGGCGAGAGGGAAGTGTCGAAGGAGACGTTTATTTTAATGCCTTCATATTTTCGGAATTGTGAACTGAATCATAGCTACTTTGTTTTTCTTTCCTTAAACCCAAAGACATACATTTGATGGATTGTTTCTCGCCATTTTATTATCTTATTACTAGCGGGAACAATTAATTCAGAACGAATATTTAACCGCTTCAGTGATTTTTAGCCATATTCCTTTCGGTCCAGTCGCGTAGGCTTGAGCCGGTCGACGACAACGTTTTTTGAATTGACTGTATAAGAATAGTCTCCTTTACAGTTCCCTGCGCCATCTTGAAAGGTAGCCGTGTCTTTGCATCCAAGCGAGACGAACGGTGATGAGCTTGCAAACAATGATAGAGACCTTTTTAACACCTTGGACATTTATTCACGTCTCTATCATTGCAAGTTCACCGTTCGTCTCACTTCGATGCAAAGGCACGGCTACCTTTCAAGATGGCGCCGGGAACTATGAAGGAAACTATTCTTATATAAATTTACAGTACATTAACTATCCCAAGGTTAAGATAAAAAACTTGGCTCAAGTTGGCAGTGCAGTGCATTTTGGGGCTAAGCGCCATACTTTTTTGGGTCCATTCTATTTTATTGATAAAAGCAATAAAAGAATATAAAAAAAATTGACTGAAATTACGTTTGACGTTTATTTGTCAGGCGTCTTTGAAAGTCAAATTTGCATATTGTTGCAATTTCACAAAAACGTTTTAAACTAATATGCATACGAACATTAAAGGAATCATGCGCAGACGGTTTTCTGCAATGTTCAACCCCAATCCCGTACCCAGAGCCTGCGTTTTTTTCTGGCCTGCGGCGAAAAACTGGCATAATCAATTTTTTGAGACCAGGATTTCTTGGAATTGCTGTATAATAGCGCATGCGTTCATAGACTTGCCAAAATAAAGTAAAAAATAAATAGATAAATAATAAAATGTTCCGATTTCTAAATCTTATTTTAGTCGAAAGTAAACGCAGAACTGATTTAAAGCATGATTTTCATTAATTATATTTCACTTCTGGAAAATTGCGCATGCGCCGAAAATGGAATACAACAGAGCCCTCGTTATTTGCCGCAGGCCAGAAGAAACGCAGGCTCTGGATACGAGATTTGTTCAACTCAAGTACAAGTACTTTTTTTACTTACATTGAACTACATTGAAATATTCCAGCGAAAGCGTCTGTTTTTATCGTTGTTATGTTGTTGTCTTTGATTTCTCTGGTAAATAACATTGAATGATGTGAATTCAAAGATCTTTATTGACCTGTACTGATCGAACCTTGAAACGACCTCTGGGCTGATCTAAGTCAGGGCACATCTAGCTCCGTCACAGATCGAACCCTGAAACAACCTCTGGGCTGATCTAAATCAGGGCATGGCTAACTCACAGATCGAACCCTGAAACAACCTCTGGGCTGATCT